TTAAGGTCAGCGGTTTGAAACTACCAGCCGCTCCGCGGGAGTAAGATGAGGCTTTCTACTCCCGTAAAGATTTACACCCTCGGAAACCCTGTACAGGGTCGCTATGGGTCGGAACCGACTCGATGTCACTTAACAACAAAAACAACATAGTCCTAATAATTATGACGCTCAGGATTTAAAATGAAGGAATGAAGAGTTTAAAGCATCTTAGTCATTTAGAAACTTTTTTCCCCTTAAACAGGTATCAACTATTTCTTTTACTTGGTTTTATTGTTTTTATTATTTTGGTTCTACCAGTATAATAACCATCCTTTGTGAAATGATCAATCAGTCTGTTAGCTTCCCTTGAAAAAGTTCCTTTTCTTTAATAGATTGCTTTTGGACCAATCGGGGATAGAGGTCTTAAAATTCCAATATGTTCAGCTGCTGAAGGGGTATGCATGGTATTTAGTAAAAGCACATTGAGAAAGGATTGCTATTAATTTAAAATAAATAAGGAAGTGATATGCTTTGTATCAAAGATTGTCTTGTCAGTTCATTTTCAGAGGAAGCCCATGTTTATGGAAGTGTTTAAGTTTTGAAATTTCCTTATCAGTGTATAATTACTGAAAATATGCTGTAGTTTATGAATTTGTAGCTTATGAATTACTATGTATGTGTATATAATTAGCTATTGGAAAATGTCCAGTTTTCTGTTTTTAACAAATATATCTGTTATCAGTAAATTAAAATCAAGGAAAGTCTGTGTCTTTGTCTTACCTCCACTGGGCCTGTCATATGAGGATTCCAGCAAAGGATTCAAAGAGAAGTACTTAATGGGCATATATAAATACCAAAGGGAAAATTGCTTGCGTCTCACTTGCTTTTGGATATTTACACACACACCCATACACACACAGTGCTGCCTGTGAGACTCAGAGCTAGAACTCAATAGGACTCTTGTTTTTCTAGATCTCACCAACTTTCCACCTTTGATGGGTGAAGTCTTAGCACTTTTGCTCACTGTTTATTAATGAAAATCTTGTAGATTTTTTTCCCCCTCCTCCGACAGTTTTCCACCATATGCAGATTCTGGTTCTCACAGGTTTAGCTGTCTCTCTTTTTCTACACACACACACACACACACACACACACACACAGACACACACAGACACACACACACACACACACTGTCACACACATGAGGCATGCTAATAGTGGTATACTAGTTAGTGCTTGGGTGTTAAGTGGAAGATGGTAATTGTTGGAACCCACCTTCTGCTCTCTAGGAGAAAAGATCTGGCAGTCCGCACTGTTAAGACTACAGCCTAGAAAAAGAAAAAACAAATACACATATGGAGCTGTTCTCTTCTGCCACACTGAATAGTCTTTAGGAGTTGAAAATTCACAGCCCTACACGCACAGAGTCAACCACAAGCCAGACTTTCTGCCTTTGGTGTGATTCTGACTCATAGCAACCTTACATTGGGTTTCCAAGACTGTAAGTCTTTCCTGGAGCAGAAAGCCTTATCTTTCTTCCGGGGAGTGGCTGTTGTGTTTGAACTGTTATCAGTCTAGTGCTTATCCTACAGTGCTGCCCTTATCCACGGGGCATATATTCCAAGTTCCTCAGTGGATTCTTGAATGTTACGTTAAGATCTTGAAAACTTAGTACTAAACCCTACATATACTGATATGTCCTGTCTGTACATA